GCTAATTTTTGATTTATTGTAGAGATGAGGTCTTGCCAAGTTGCCCAGGCTGGTCTTGAACCTGTGGGCTCAGGCAATCCTCTCAACTCGGCCTTCTAAAGTGCTGAGATTATAGGCATGAGCTGCAGTGCGCAGTCTAGTATGATGCTTTTGAGGTTCATCTATGTTGTTGTGTGTATCAGTAGCTTGTTCCTCTTTCTTGCTGAGTAGAATTCCATTGCATGAGCATACCACAGTTTGTTTACCATTTTCCAGTTCCAGGATGTTTGGGACGTTTTCAGTGTTTAGTTACTATGAGTTAAGCTGCTACGAACATTTATGTACATATCTTTTTTTTTTTCTGAGTTGGAGTCTCACTCTGTCGCTCAGGTTGGAGAGCAGTGGCACGCTTACGGAACCGCAGCCTCGACCTGCTGGGCTCAAGTGACCCTTCTGCCTCAGTCTTCCAAGTAGCTGGAACTACAGGCAGGCACCACCATGCCCAGATAATTATTTTGATTTCTTGTAGAGATGAAGTCTTGCCATGTTGCCCAGGCTGGCTTCAAACCCCTGGCTATTCTCTTGCCTTGGCCTCCCAAAGTGCTGGGATTACAGGGGTGAGCCACTGTTCCCAGCCTTGTATGCTCAACTTTATAAGAAACTGTCAAACAGTTTTCTAAAGTGTACCATCTTTGGAAATGCATGTATTTTATGTAGCATGCTATGTCCTAAGGAAGAACCCTTGTGCAAAACGAAGTGCTCTTACTTTAAACTCAATCAAACTTAGCATGTTCACCCTTTGGCTGTTAGTTCTCACCATACCCGTCTGTCCCTCTCTTCAGTAAACACATCACCATTTACCGGTTCCTTAGGCCAAACCCTCAGAGTCATCTTGAGTCCTTTTTCTCCCCCATACTCTCAACAGTCCTTTTTCTCCCCCATACTCTCAACAGTCCTTTTTCTCCCCATACTATCAGCAGGTCCTGTCAGTCCTACTAACAAGTCTGTTCCTTTTCTAGCTCCTCACATGATCTCTGCACCACTCACTGCTGCAGTAGCCACCTCCCAGGTCTCAGCTTCCATTCTTGCCAGAGGGATCCTTTTATTTTATTTTATTTTATTTTATTTTATTTTTTTGAGTTGGAGTCTCACTCGGTCGCCCAGACTGGAGTGTAGTGGCCGCTCCCAGCCACCGCAGCCTCGACCTGCTGGGCCCCAGCGATCCTTCCGCCTCAGCCTTCCGAGTAGCCGGAATTACAGGCATGCGCTACCACGCCTGGCTGATTTTTTGATTTTACTGTAGAGATGAGGTCTCGCTACCCAGGCGGGTCTTGAACCCGTGGGCTCAGGCAATCCACTCACCTCAGCCTCCCAAAGGCGCGGGATTACAGGCTGAGCCACCAAGCCCGGCTCAGAGGGATCCTTTTAAAATGCAAAGCATGGCCAGGCATGGTGGCTCACACCTGTAATCCCAGCACTTTGGAAGGTGGAGGCAAGAGGATTGACTGAGCCTGGGGGTTCAAGAACAGCCTGGGCAACTTGGGAAGACCTCGTCTCTACAATAAATTAAAAAATTAGCTGGGTGTGGTGGCACATGCCTGTAGTTCCAGCTACTTGGAGGGCTAAGGTGGAAGGCTCACCTGAACCCAGTACATTGAGACTGCGGTAGCTGTGAGAGTGCCACTGCACTCCAGCCTGGGTGATAGACTTCAACTCACAATAAACAAATAAAGCATGGACACAAGAGCATATTCTGCAGTTCAAAAATAGGCAAAATTAGGATAGGTTCAGTGGTTCATGACTGTAATTCCAGCACTTTGGGAGGACATGGTGGGAGACTCACAGGAGCCCAGGAGTTTGAGCCCAGCCTGAGCAACATAGCGAGACCCTATCGCTTAAACATTTTTTAAAATTAGCTGAAAGTCGTGGTGTGAGCCTGTAGTCCCAGCTACTCAGGAGGCGGAGGCAGGAGGGTCATTGGAGCCCAAGGCATCAAGGCTGTGGTGAACTATGATGGTACCACTGTACTCCAGCCTGAGGAACAGAGCGAGACCCTGTGTCTCTCTAAGAAACACATGAACACAAAACATAACAAAACAAAAAGCCCAAACCAAAAATTGTTCTCTGATAGAAGTCAGGGTAACGGTTATGCCTTTGGTGGGAAAGTGACTATGAAGGGTTTATAAGGGAGGATTTGGACTGGAAATGTTCTGTGTCTTGATCTGGGTGGAGGTTACTCAGGTGTATATATATATGCAAAAATGGAAATTTTAAAAGGCTGGGCCAGGGCAACCCCTTCGGGCCCCTTCCCACTGTGGGAGCTTCTCTGTCCTCTCAATAAATCCTGCTTTCAAAATAAAAATAAAAAGTAAAAATAAAAATAAAAGGCTGGTCCAAAGGTAGTAAGTTATCTCAATTGACTGTTCACAGTCAGTTATGGATTGAACTTCTGGGTTCTACTCTTTTCCTCCTTCTCACTACTGCACTTGACTAGTCTCATAATAATAATAATAATAATAATAATAATAATAAGTAACCAATAGTCATGTGTGTGGGAGGTGGGGTTGCCTAAGTGGTTCATGGGGCTGGGAGTCAGACTCCTGGTTCTCCACTCACTAGATATGTGAGCTCAAGCAAGCACCCTGGTTCCTCAGTTTGCTCATCTGTGACTTGGGAACAGCTCACTTACACCAGGCGAGCACTGTGTGCCAAGTTTCACATTGCCCATCTCAAATCCTCACCACAACCACTGTGAAGCAGATCTTGCCATTGTTATGAACTTTATTTTCACCTCCACCTTACAGGTGAAAGATTAAATAACTTGCCCAGGTCACCCTGAGGCTGAATGGTTGAGCTGGGATTCGAGCCCACATGCTGGAGTCCAGCCTGCTCACTGCTATATATACTGCTTCTTGGGCCTCTCGTGGCGATACCCACAGAGACGTCATCGGAGCTCCCTCCTGGAGCTGTGGAAGTCATGTCGCAGGTGCCTGGGGCCTGGCTGGTACCCAGTGAGTTACACCCATGATCAGAATTGCTCTTCACGTGAGGCAGGTTATGGCTGTTTCTCCCTCCCCTGGGATGCTGGCAATCACTGCCAGTTTCTTCCAGGCCTGTTGCCCAGGGAAGGGCAGGGCAATGGTTGGGAAGCAGAAGGGAGGGAGAGACGGGGGACCAGAGGGACAGGAGTGCAACTCTTGTTTCGACATCATTTCCTGTGAGCCACAAGATAGGGGCTGAGGCAGGAGGAGGAGGAGGAGGAGGAGGAGGAGGACGTGTGTGCCCTGCCCCTAGCCTCCTGGGGGCTACCTATGCTGAGAGCCAGACTAGCAGGAGAACTGCCAGGAGTAGGGTCACGACCTGGGGTGCCCGGGGAGGGGTGGTGGCCGAAGCAGTGGTGAAGTCCTGGGTCACAGAGTCTCCGTTGCAGAACTGCCCCTCACAGCAGGAGCCCTGGAGGTCAATGGCTGTCCAGGGGCTGGTGGTGCCCATGGTGGTGCAGGAGGGCCGGTGGCAGGTTCTGATGTACACGGGGATGGAGAAATTGCCTGGGGTAGGTGGAGTGGGGAAGGGTCAGAACGAGGGAGGCGGCTGCATCTGAATCATTTCTCTGTCCTCAGACTTCAGGTTTCCCTCCTTAGACCGGGAGGGTCATGCCTCCTCCCTCAGACTAGGGTCGTGTCATGCTTCCTCCTTCAGACTAGGGCTATGTTCCTCCCTTAGACTAGGGCCATGCCTCCACTCTCAGACTAGGGTCGTGCCTACTCCCTCAGACTAGGGTCACGCCTCCACCCTCAGACTAGGGTCATACTTCTTCTCCCTCAGACTAGCACCATGCCTCCACTCTCAGACCAGGGCCATGCCTCCTTCCTCGGACTAGGGCCATGCTTCTTTCTCAGACTAGGGCCATGACTCCCCTCTCAGACTAGGGTCATGCCTCCTCCCTCAGACTAGGGTCATGATCCTCCCTCATACGAGGGCCATGCCTGCAGTCTCAGACTAGGGCCTTGCCTCCTCCCTCAGACTAGGGCCATGCTCCTCACTCAGACTAGGGCCATGACTACCCTCTCAGATTACAGTTGTGCCTCCTCTCTCAAACTAGGGCCATGCCTCCTCCCTCTGCCTAGCACCACGGATCCTCCCTCAGACTAGGGCCCTGGTTCCTCCCTCAGACTGGCACCGTGCCTCCGCTTTCAGACTGGTGCTGTGCCTCCTACCTCTGACTAAGGCCTCTGGGGCCATGATCCTCCCTCAGACTAGGGTCATGCCTCCACTCTCAGACCAGGGCCATGCCTCCTCCTTCAGACTAGGGCCACGGCTCCTCCCCCAGACCAGGGCATGCCTCCACGCTCAGGCCAGGTCTGTGCCTCCTCCCGCAGACGAGGGCCGGGCTCTGCCCTCAGACCAGGGCCTGGCCGCCTCCTTCAGACCAGGGCCCCGCAGACCCGAGCCCCGGGCGGGCGTCAGG